TGGGCTGCCCACCTGTGCCCCTCTCCCACACCCCATGTAGGTCTCCGGCCCTGCCCAGCCTGGGGCTTCTCGGTGGGGTGGGTCTGGGAGGAGGCAGTGATGGGCAGCAGCGTGGTGGCAGGAGGGGCTGGGGCTGCGGTGGCTTGGTGGGACAGGTTTGCGAGCGGGTGGGGGACCTGAAGATCAGGTAGAGGGTGCAGTGTGCTGAGACAGCTGGCTTTGAATCCATCCTGGCTCAGCATTCCCAGGGACCAGCATGCCCAGAGCCAGGAGGCTGGGTCACTTCTGTCTGGACCTTGCTTTCACCCATGAGTTAATGGCTTTGAAGCCCTTTTGCTGTGAGACAGTCATGCAAACATGTCCCTAGGTGCTGCTTTCCAGAAACCAAGCCAGTTCTTGTGCCTTTGCACATGGTCTGCTCAGGAGAGTGAGTGGCACTCATGGCCATGGGCAGGACACACTCATGCCACCTTCTGCACCAGCCATGGGGACCAGCTGGGCATGTTGTCCTCAGCAGCTCCCCAACACCTCAGCCTGGTGGGTTTGCTTCCTTTTTGTGGCACAGAGGAGCAGCAAGGTGGGGATAGACATGGGTGAGGGTGAGCCAGGGCAGGCAGTGGGGGTGGCTGGTGGACCTTGCCCTCCTGAGATGCTGCCTGGCTGGCACTGTCCCCCCAGCCTGAGGCTCTCCACCGTTCACGAGCCCAGCAGCACCCTGGTGGTGCTGGAGTGGGGGCACTCAGAGCCCCCCATCGGGGTGCAGATCGTTGACTACCTGCTCCGTCAAGAGAAGGTCACTGACAGGATGGACCACTCCAAGGTGGAGACTGGTGAGTGGGGCCTGCCGGGTCTCTCTGGGGAGGGTGGGGAGGATGGAGGTGTTGGAGGAGAGCCTCTGTCCCCCTTCTTTGCAAGGAGATGCTGCAACTTGTCCAGCAAGTTTTCCTGTGGGAAAGAGCAGCTCCTCCTGCAGAGGTGGCAGCTCCACACCACGGCGATGACCCTTCTTGGTCCCCCTGGGCACCAGGCACAGACCTCAGGGTTCTCCACAGCCCCAGGGACACCTCCTGTGTCCTCTCCTGTGGCACAATCCTCCCCTCTCTCCCTAGAGACAGTGCTGAGCTTCATGGATGACATCATCTCCGGGGCCAAGTCACCCTGTGCCATGCCTGCCCAGGTGCCCGACAGGTTGTCCTCCACCATCTCCCTCATTGTTCGCTGCCTGGAGCCTGACACCACCTACATGTGAGTCACTAACCCCCCTGTGCCATGCCCCTGGCAGTGCTGTCACCCTGAGCCTGGTGCTCCTGCCTGGTGCCCACCTTTATGTGAGAGCTTGGGAGTCCAAGAGCTTCACCTTTTCCATTCTTGGCCAGGTTCACCCTCTGGGGAGTGGATAATACGGGAAGACGCTCCAGGTCCAGTGATGTGACAGTCAAGACTCCCTGCCCAGTGGTAGATGATGTGAAAGCTCAAGGTGAGGTGGAGCAAACTGCTGGGCTGTGACACTTGGGGCCAGAAACAGGGAGTTCTCCCTTCCAGCAGGTCCCTGCACACATCTGGTGTCCTGGCTGTAACGTCTCCTCCACCCATGGTGGCCACGTGGTGGTGAGGGTTGGGGTGGCAGGTTGTGGGAGGCACACGTTGTCCCCACATACAAAAGCAGAGGCACTCTGTGCTAGTGGGAGGGTGAGGGGAAGGAAGCACTTGGGGGACACCCAAATAGCCAAGAAGACCCGTGTGCCCTTCCCAGACAGCAACTGGTGGGGTAGGTGGTGCCAGTGCTGAAGAAACCCCAGTTGGGTGCCTTCTCATCAATAGATGGCATTTCACTGACAGTGCCTGGTGACACCACCCATTTCTTTTCCTAGTTGGGCCAAACTACAGGAGCCTAACCTGGGCTGAGCCTGAGGAATGCCATCTACTCTGTTGATCCCATGTTGGGACCTTGTCTTGATGTGCCATCAGTCATAACTCAGGGGACAAATCTTGGCTCTGGGCTTGGTTTCCCTAGAGCTGATCTTGGGACTGGTGAGTTTTGTTCATGCCTTTCCTTCCACCCCTCTGAATACCCACTGTCCTTTTGTCCAGAAATAGCAGACAAGATCTACAACCTCTTCAATGGCTACACCAGTGGCAAGGAGCAGCAAACAGCCTACAACACCCTGCTGGACCTGGGTTCCCCCAGCCTGCATCGAGTCCTTTACCACTACAACCAGCACTATGAGAGCTTTGGGGAGTTCACCTGGCGCTGTGAAGATGAGCTGGGGCCCAGGTAGGGTTGGGGAGCTGACTTGGCAAGGCCTTACCTACCAGCAGGCTGATCCCTCGTGGACGTTGGTCCCCAGGATGGTGGCTCTCTGGCAAATCTTGTGTAACTTCGTTGATGATAGAACTCTGAGTCTCACAGTAGGCTTCCTGCTTGGCTGGGTGCTGTGTGTTTGAGGTCCAGCCATCTCCCTTGAAGAACCACAAACGTAGGACAAGGTTTGTTGGATCATCACCAACCTGGTCCATCCCACCAGCCCTATCCTGCCTCTGGAGTTTTGCTTAGTCTGTTCATGCCAAGGCAGGTGGGAAAGGGATGGGATTCTCCTTCTTCCTCAGTAGCTGCTGCCACAGGCAGAAGGTCCTGGAAAAACCTTTGAGAACTGGAGATTGTTGTGGGTCAGAGCATGTTGTATGGTCAGAGCACGTTGCTAGAGAAAGGTCCTGGGCATTCCAGAGGAGAGATACCAAGTTGGTGAAGGGTCTAAAGAACAAGTTGTATGAAGAGCAGCTGAGGGAACAGTGGTTGTTTAGTTTGAAGAAGAGGAGGCTGAGGGGAGACCTCATTGCCCTCTACAACTACCTGAAAGGAGGTTGTAGGGAGGTGGGTCTTGGCCTTTTCTCCCAAGTGAATGAGAAGAAATGGCCTGAAGTTGTGGCAGGTGATTAGGTTGGACATTAGGGAGTGGTCAGATACTGGAACAGCCTGCCCAGAGAGGTGGTCACCATCCTTGGAAGTATTCAAGAAACGTGTAGATGTGGCACTTCAGGGCCTGCTCTAGTGGCTGAGGTTGAGGTTTCTTGTGGGGTTTTTCTGGTGGAGTGAGTGTGATGTTTGTTTGGGTTGTTTTGGTGGGGTTTTTTTTGTGCTGATGGTTGGACTTGGTGATCTCAGAGGTCCTTTCCAACTGTGACAATTCTGTGATTCTATGATTGGTGGAGGGAAGAAGGTACAAGAAGGTGGTGGTACCTTTTAGCCTGTTGGAGAAGGTTACACAGAAGAGCTTGATTGTGGAAGCTGCTCGATGAAGTGCATGCAAACATGCATACCTGGGCTGGACTGTGCCATGCCAAGGTCAGGCTTTGCCTTTCTTCTTCTCCTGGGCTTTGGTTTGACTTGAATGCATCTTTCTGTGTGGGGCTCCCTGTCACTTGTGGTCCAAAACAGGCAGTGGATTCACCTTGGCCCTGAATTGCACTTGTTCCCTTCTTTGGGTCCATGTTTGTGGTTGTGTGGGCTGATCTGAGGGACACAATTAATGTTTGGTGTCCAGGCATTGCCAAGCTACCATGGCAGGTTATAGAGGAGGTTGCCCTGTTCCCTTCCAGGCTGAGACAGTCCCCTCGTGCCTCAGGGAGCACCATGTCCTGTCTCAGGGCTTCTTCAGGTCACTCCAGCCCCTTCAGCTGTCTGGGGATGGGCCCCCTCCTGTTCCAGGCTTGTGGAAGGAGCCAGATGTGCCCTTCATCCCCATGTCCTTTGATGTCTGCTTCTGTCTGTGTGCTTTCCCAGTAATGTGGGTGTTCCCAGTCAGTTGAGCAAGCTGGGCTGGGAGGTTGTGTGGGCTGCAGTGGTGTTTCATAGTGTCTGGCCTCCAGAGAACTGGAGCCTTGAGCCCATATGGAAACTGGGATGACTTCAAACACATGCCAGCCACAGCCCTGGGCTATGAAGCTGATGGCCTCTACCTTACCCCCCATCCCACACCTCCTCTTGCTGCACTCACCTCTGTCTTCCAGCCCTGCTTCTCCAGCTGGTCACTTGTGGATTTCTAGCAGAGGATTGGAGATCCTCCATGTGCCTTCTCTGTCCTCCAGACCTCTGCTAAGTGGTCAGAAGAACACAGCAGGTAGTTCTCTTGCACTTTGTGTCTCAGGCATATCTCCCATCTCAGCTTTGGTAGGAAACTCTCAAGAGATCCTCCACTTCCCAGGGCAAAGCTGGGGTCTCTTCTCTTTCTCCAGTTCCCATTTATGCCCTCAGACCTTTGAACTCTCAGTGGTGACATCCCAGCATGTGCAGGCTTGTTGCTGAGGCTCCCACCAGCTCCTCTGCCCAGGGTTGCTCCGTTCCCACGGCCCTGGCTGGGGTCGGCGGGCTTGGCTTTTGGCCTCATCTCTGTCTCGAGCCCAGCTGTGGTGATGTCACCCTGTGAAACCCAGCCCTGGTCTGCACATCTCCCATCTGTTGTGGTGGTTTGCATGAGGAGCACGTGAAATTCCCTGCGTGACAGGCCAGAGCCATCACACAACCACAGAGCCCGAGCGCTGCCGTCACCGCCCGTGGCCTCAGCCAGGGGAGCCGGGACCTTCTCCTCCAGCCCCAGCTGGGCATGGAGCAGCCAGGAATTCCA